GAATACATGTTGCTTAAAACAAAGAGAGAGAAAATAAATGAAAATAGAAAAAATTGAATGAGTTTCATTACAAGGAAAAGATGAAAGTTGTCTGAATAACTGTGTGAGGAAAATATACATAGATAAAATGAGTTTGCCTAATGTAGCACATTCGAATTGGGAACTTGGCACACAATAATATGATTTAAACACTGAAGTTGCCTACCCTCAAGTAGAAAGTTGCTTACATACATGTTCAAATTTGCGCATAATAAAATGTCTAGGTAGGAATTGGGAACTTGGCACACAATAATATGATTTAAAAACTGAAGTTGCCTACCCTCAAGTAGGAAGTTGCTTACATACATGTTTAAATTTGCACATAATAAAATGTCTAGGGAGGAATTGGGAACTTGGCACACAATAATATGATTTAAACACTGAAGTTGCCTACCCTCAAGTAGGAAGTTGCTTACATACATGTTTAAATTTGCCATGGGACTAGTTACCTTGAAAAAAAAACACAAGGACAAAAAGGCCATAATGACTTGATGCTAACAAATAAATGAGAAAACAAAAGCTAATAAATTACTTACTTCTTTATTATATGACTCAGGTAATCTTGCTGTAACAAATTTTGTGATGTGATCCATGCTTTCGAACAAACTGTCGTCCGCACATCGGGAAAACTCAGTCTTAAGCTGATTGCATTTGTTTGTAGAGAAAAAAGAATAAAAAAAGTGTGAGCAGATAAGATCCATTTGTGGAAAAAACAGTACGACATAGTATATAACTTCACGCTGAAAAATAGGCAATTTTCCACCTAAGAGTTGTGCTGAATTACTAGCATAAAAATTGAGTCACACAACCACTCCATTTCCCTCCAAAAACATATTTTGTTCATCACAAGAAACCAAAAAATGGCATGCTTGTCTGAAAAAAGTAAAAAAATTGCTTGACCAAAATTATGACTTGCCAGATTTAAATACATGAATTGCCTATTTTTCTATCATTATTGTACCTTGTACTTTAAAAGTAGTCCACAGACATAAGAAGTATGTGTGTCCTAATAAAACACAAGGTGAACATAAAAAAGGAAAGAGAAAAAAACTTACACATAGTTTTCCATATTGACCCGGGCCAATCTTATCCTTCTTCACGACTTTTGCGATTAAATCTGAGTTCCAAACAGAAACTCTTGGTGTCAAGCTTGGGATAGGTTCATCCACGTCAAGTGAGTCCAGATACAACAACTGCATGGGAGTAAAATAAACACATGATTTTCCAACAGAAAGGAAACAAGAAAGAAGAAGAGAGAACCAACGTTAAGATTGTCCGCACTTACTACAAGATGGAAAACACAACAACATACATCATTCTTCTTGACACTTGCTACTGTGAATGCTACCTTTAACTGATCAACAACAAACTGACAAACATTTGTCTCTGTTATACCATTGACATCCATAACAACAGGGAAGCTTTTTGGAGAGATGTTTAGACTTGTTGATGGTGCAAGAAAACAAGAAAAAGCGACTGCTAGCCAAGCACGGAGGAAATTGTCATCATGAGATCCATGCATATATCCAATCATCTTACACCATGCCGTGAGGGTTGGTGAGTTCTTGAGTGTAATGTTGTAGATGCTGTAAATGGCCTTTGTGATGTCAGGACGATTCTCAAAACAGACCTTTCTGCCCCTGTTTGGCAACCCCCATATTCTATGCACGCTCGCTGCATCTACCGTGATATTCCCCCTCTCTGGTATAAAAATTTGGGACCTCTTGGGGTTGTAGTGCTTCATAATCTATTGGCCGAGATCAACATCCATTGTAGTGGCTGCGAGGTCCAACAAACCGCCGAACTCTTTGTCAATGATCACACCCTTTTGGAAAGATATAAGAGATTCGTTTAGTTTATACAACCTTGCAGGCGATCCCCTGTTCCTAAAACCCTGCAGAAACAAAAACATAAACACTGGAACCCCTGTTAAAAGAGATTTGAGGCAACACATGTATATAGTTTGGCAAATCACACACATTAGATGGGCAAAAATAAAGCAAATCTAAGCAAAAAAATTGCATTACCTCAGTTTTTGAAGAATTTTGGCGCTTTGCTTTTCTTGGATGATCCTCAATATCTTTGTCAGCTTCACGCTTGTTATCTTTGTCAAATTCAGGGTCCTTATCAGCATCTCTAGATACATCCTCGTTGCTATCAATATCTGATGGACGGGGGCCACGAGCAATGATCACTTTCGACATTCTTTGACACTTGTACCCAATTGTGGGCGCAGTACTACGAGCCTACGGAGGTGCAAGAACCAACAAAAAACAGCATATAGACATGCTGCACATTAAATGCAGCACGAAAAAGAAAAAAAAGAAGAAAAATAATTTCGAAGAATTTTCCCCAGGCACCTCTATTTCATTATCTGCAGTAACATTAGAAGGATTGGCGTCAGGGTTGACTGGAAGGCGGTCTTCCTGCATTTCCTTACTGCTGCCATCCATTGTTCCTAGTATATGGCAGAAAAAAGCCATTCTTAAAAACCATGGGTAAAAAAATACATACATAAACACGTGAGTTGAACAGTTAACTAATCAGGAAATGAACAGCTGCTTCCACTTCAACTATCTTACACAAAAGAAGTACCTACAAAACTAATTCCACTTGAACTAATGCACAGGACACATGTGAGCAGTTAACTAATGCACAAGCAAGTGCATCCTCTACATTAGGCAAAAACAATGACAAAAACAGGCAACATCTATTAGGACATCTATTATACAAACGTGTGACAAGAAAAACACATGCAGGTTGGTGACCTTCCAGTTCAACAAACACCATGCAAAACAAACATGCAACTAATAGACAACTATTAGGCGTTTTTTTAGCAAACATGTGTATATGGAAAGGAACATAGTCAGCAAGGCTATATCAGCGATGACCATTGTCGCAAAGCTATATAATGGACTCAAAAAATAGTCATATGCACAAAATTGTCGTCCACCAGGTATGACTATTTGTTGTTTCCCCTTGAAAAATACACATGCAATTTGCTAGGTATCAGTTGGGCAAACATCATTGAGTTAACATGCAACTAGGGAGACAACTGTTGGGGAAACACCATCTAGTTAACAGGCAACTAGGGAGACAATTATTGGGCAACTATATTGTACATCAGTTGGGCAAACACCATCCAGTTGACAGGAAACTAGGGAGACAACTGTTAGGCAACTATGCTCTACATCAGTTGGGCAAAAACAACTTAGTTGACAGGCAACTAGGAGACAACTGTTAGGTAACTATGTTGTACATCACTTGGGCAAACACCATCCATCTGACAGGCAACTAGGGAGACAACTGTTAGGCAACTAACCCGAATAACTGCTATTACACAAAGTTTTTCCCCAAAAACCTAATGAATTCAGCAGGCGACAGAGTAAGAGGAACCCCTGACCAAAAAAGTACTGCAAAATTGCCTTACCAAAATCGATTTCTCACGCATCTAGAACCTCCCATGGTGGGTTAAAACATGCACGCACACATGCCCGAAAATCGAGTTCCTCCACTCTTCCTCAAGCATCAACGGGCGCGAGTTGTCTCGCACCCCCAACCAAAATCGAGCGCATCCAAGGCTATCATAACAACGGGGCGAGTCGTCTCGCACCCCAACCAAATTCGAGCGCATCCAAGGCTATCTACATCGAGATGCATACATGGGAAGCAGAGCTGGGGCGGAAATGTACAGCGAGATGCATATGTGGGAAGTAGAGCTGGGGCGGAAATGTACAGCGAGATGCATATGTGGGAAGTAGAGCTGGGGCGGAAATGTACAACGAGATGCATATGTGGGAAGAAGAGCTGGGGCGGGGATTACCGGAGTTTTGGGGCATAGATCCTCCACTCATCACCGGACCATCGCTCCTGCCTGCGCCCTGCTGCTGTCGTTCACCGCACCACCGCCTCCAGTTGTCGTTCCTCCCTAGATCCCACCTGTCAACGAAGCAGCACGGCCAGTGTCGCCGAGAGCACCAAAATGCCTCGCCC